GGGGCACAGGGGGCAGGGGACCAAGAAAGCAGCACTCTGACTGACAGAGAGGGGAACATTAGCCGCGACATGAAAACACCAGGTACAGAATCTTCTACTTGGATTTATGTCCAAGATTCGTGCAAAGAGCTGCCCAGGTGCAGACAGCCACCCTATTCTGGGCTTCCAGCACCACAAGCCTTTGGCCGGGAGGGCCTGGCAGCTGCAGGCTGGGGCCTCTCGGTGGATGTGGCTGCCACAGCCTTCATCCCAGGCTGAAGATGGTGTTAGCAGGGCTGCCTTGGGCAGAGGTGGAGGGCCCCGCAGCAGAACATCCTGTGGTTCTCTTCTGCTCCCAGAAGCAAACCTCCTCTTCCCACAGCTCCTCACAGAGGGGAAGGGATGGGTATAGTCTAGGTCCTGCTACTACAGAGCTTGAAGCAAAAAATTAAACACATGTGAATTGAATATGATCCCCAGAGGGGCTAGAACCAATTCTGGGGAAGTTTTGAAAGAAAGGAGTCTCAGCTGCACCCCACTCTTGAGAATGACGCCCCCTGGTGTATTCCACAAACAATGGCAGGTCTTCTCTCTGCTGGGTGGCAGGATAGTGAGTCTTTTCCCATCTCACCAAAAGAAGGGCCCAGATGGAGGCCTTCCGGGCAGACATCCTTCAGTCTGTAAACAATTCAGGTTGGGGCCGGGCACAAGCTGGTGGCCCATCTCAGCTTCTTGTCTGGCTCAGACTCTGGCCACAGAGAGCATGTGGCCTCTAGTTTTTCAGAAATCTGAGGTCAGCTGGCTCTGCAAGACGAAGGTGGAGCCAAGTGGTGTAATCTGGTCTTACTGAGGCCCCTTGCGGTCATTTTTTGCAGAGTCTAAATAAACAAAAAATTTTGAGGGCTTAAAGATGAGGTGGTACAGTAGGTTTCAAAGTCTGGTGGAAACCAATACAGTAACAGTAAAAGTAACAGCTGGAGTTATTGAGTGTTACCAAGTCCCAGGCCCTGGGCGAAGTACCTTAGGTATATTCATCATTCAATCCACTCAGTTCAGCCCTATGAAGCAGACAGATAACTATCCCTTTATGGAGGAGGGAGCTGGGGCACAGAGAGGTTTTTAAAATGCCTGCCCACAAAGTCCCAGATCTAGGAAGTGTGGGAGCCTAGTCAGTCTGGCTTGATCCCAGAAGTGGGGCAGTTCAGGAAGAGGAGACAGCCCTGACCATTTGGTCACCTTCTGCCCCTCATCAGAGCAGCCTCTGGAGGCTCCACAGAACTTCCAAGACTCTGTGAGGACCATGAGAAAATGACTGAGCAGCCCAGTCCCTCCTCCTGACCACTAATTCCTCCAACCACACTCCCTCCAAGCCGCCTGAAACCTCGGCTCGCACACCTTCGTCCCGCTACCTCCTGGCAGAGCTCACTCCGTTCTGGCACAGCTGAGACCCTTCCCAAACTGCTCTGTCCTAGGGGATCATGCTTACCTGGTTCTGCAGGCCTAGCCGTGGGTGAGTCCATCTGAGAGGTCTGATTGCGCATCCCTCCACAGGGTGGCCGCCAGTTGTAGTCCGGCTGCAACAACACTGGTTCTTAGTAATCAACAACCACACTTGAGAATTACAATAGCAGCTACCACATCAAAACAGTACTAAATACATATTAATCCAGTATGCAGTTGTCCCTTGGTATCCTTGGGCATAGGTTCCAGGACCCTCACTGCCAAAGATACCAAAATCCAAGGACATTCAAGTCACTTGTATGAAATGTAGTATTTGCATATAACCTGTGTACATCATCCCATATACTTTCAGTCATCTCTGCGTTACTTATACTACACAACTCAGTGTAAATGCTAGGTAAATAGTTGTTATACTGTATCGTTTAGGAAATAATGACAAGAAAAAAAGCCTGCACACGTTCAGTACAGACAACCATTCAGTCAACAACAACGTAACATTTTTTTCTGAATGTTTTCAATCCACCCGATTGAATCCATGAATGTGGAACCAGTGGATACAGAGTCAACTGTAATCTAATCCTTACAACAATCCAGGTTGCCATCCCTATTTTATAGGTAAGGACACTGAGGC